GAGTGGGGTTCCGAGACAGGGTTTCTTTGTAGCTTTGGAGGCTGTCCTGGAACTCACTCTGTAGACCAGGCTGGTCTCTGCCTCCCAACTGCTGGGATTAAAGGTGTGCGACACCACTGCACAGCCATCCATTTCTTTTTAAACAAATCTTTACTACTAATGTGTGTGTGTGTGTGTGTGTGTGTGTGTCAGAGAGAGAGAGAGAGAGAGAGAGAGAGAGCGCACATGCAGGTATGCCACAGTACACATATAGAGGTCAGAGAATAACTTTCAGAAGTTGTTTCTCTCTTACTATATGGGTCCCAAGGATAAAACACAGGTCATCTCCATATTATGAGAGTTCCAGGGACTGACCACCCTGCTTCAAAGCAAGTGCCTTTGCTCACTGAGCTGTCTCACCAGTTCCCTGCTCTGAGTCTGACCTACAACTATCAGTCACAAAGTTCCTGATTTGATCTTATGCAGGTGAATCATCTCCCCATTACCTAGCAGTGTACAAGACACAAACAGAATTCAATATGTAATTATCAGTTCATTGAGATGCATAGATGGTAAATAGAGATAGACAGGTGATGCTAGATTGGTACACACATGCTAGGTAGTACTCTAGCCACTAAGCTATAAAGATATAAATACATGCTTTGTTTTTTTGAGAGCTCAGACTGGCTTTGAACTCTTACCCTCCTGCCTCAGTCTGTCTCTCTCTATTTTTTACTGACCTTTTTCCAGTCTCCGTTGATTCTCCATCACTGGTTATTAATCAAAAGAGCTTGCTGTTGGAGTGCTGACGAATGTTTGGTCAAAGAACAACCCTGCCCCCACCTGGTAGCAAGAGGCACTGCTTCCCTGTAGTGGAGAAAGGAAATGGGAAAATGACTAGAACTGGCGGGTGTGAGTGACTGTGTGTGTGTGTGTGTGTGTGTGTGTGTGTGTGTGTGTGTTCTGTATGTCTGTCAGTCTTAGTTTGTTCTAGGAATCCAACACAGGGACTTGAATATACTAAACATACACTGTACCACTAAGCTATACCCCTAACACTATATTTTATTTTTATATTTTTGGTTTTTTGAGACATGGTTTCTGTTTAACAGCCCTGTCTGTCCTGGAACTCACTTTGTAGACCAGGCTGGCCTCGAACTCTCAGAAATTTGCCTGCCTCTGCCCCCCCCCGCCACCCAGTGCTGGGATTAAAGACCTGTGCCACCATCTATCTACTGGCAGCATTGATTTAACTACTTTTGTTTATTTACTTATTTATTCATGTGAGTGGGTGCCATGTAGCAAGTGTGGAGTTCAGAAGACCATTTTCGAGAGTTGGGTCTCTCACCATGTGAATCCCAGGGATCAAACTCAGATCATACCTGACAGCAGAGGCTTAGCCACCTCACCACCCCCTAAGTTAATATTATCTGTTTTGTTTGGTTGTAAGGGTTGAGCCCAAGCTTTCAGTATGCTTGGCAAGTGCTCCTGCTACTGAGCTACACCCCAATCTAATAGACAGAAAAATTAATTTAAAAGATTAACTATTATCAGGTTGGTTTGGAACTTGTGATCTTCCTGCCTCAGGCCAAAGTGCTAGGATTACAGGTGTTTTTCACACTAACTTTCCTTCTACTTAGTTTTTCTTTTTAAAGATTTATTTTATTTATTTTTAAAGATTTATTTACTTATCATGTATACAGTGCATGCCAGAAGAGGGTACCAGATCCCATTACAGATGGTTGTGAGCCACCATGTGGTTGCTGGGAATTGAACTCAGGACCTCTGCTAGAGCAAGCAGTGCTCTTAACCTCTGAGCCATCTCTCCAGCCTCCTCTACTTAGTTTTTCAAGGCTGTTTCAGACTATGATGGGCACCCACAAATCCTTTAATTTCTTCTTTTATGTAGTCTATTCAAGACACCCACTATTACATAGGTGCTTTTTTGCATTATGCATAAATAATAGTTCTAATGAGGTTCCAGGCTGCCTCCTTTTATTACTTCCTTATTTTGGTTTAGCTTCAGTCTGGAAGAATGTTTCATGTTATTAAAGACTTGCTGGGTCTGTGTGACATTAGGACTTGATAGGGTCAGACAGTATTCAGCTCATGTGCTGTGACTTAGTGTTTCTTAGTGCTTGAGTTACACATGATGGATGTGGTGGATCATTCCTACTCATCTTTGCATCTTTGGTGGCTCAGCTGTAGCTGTCCCTTTCTTACTGTCAGCTCTAGATGGCAGCCCACCACTTAGCTTCTAAATGATTCAGATGCTTGTCTCACCAGTACATTACAGCTGGCTTTGGTTTTTGTCTCCTCTGGGCCTTTTCTTGGACTTCAGTTCTACAATGGCCTCACATAATCTACTTATCCCAGCAAATGGATTGTATTTACTTTGTCTTTGTTGTTGCTTGTTTCTGAGTCAGGGTCTCATGTAGCCCAGGCTGGCCTCAAACTTGCTGTGTAGTTGGTGGTTACCTTGAACTTTTTCTGCCTCCACTTTTTGTGCTAAGACTATAGGCTGGTGCCTCCTCTGTGCCTAGCTTATGTGGTGGTAGGGGTAGAACCCCGGGCTTTTGAGTGTTAAGCAAGCACTCTACCTCCTGAGCTACATCCCTTGCCCTCATTCTTCAACGCTTATGGTGCTGTGGATTGAACATGGTAAGCAAGCCCCCCTCCTCTGAACTGCATCCCCAGGCAGTTAAGTTTATTTTAGTCATCACACACGAGCAGGATATGAAACTCTCTATTTACCTCAGGTATCTTGAACTCCCTCTTCCTTTTCCTCTTTCTCTCCTCTGTGTCAGACTCCTGTAGCCGAGACTTGCCTCACTGTGTTTCTGAGGCTGGCCTTGAACTCCTGATCCTCCTATCTCTAATTCCCAAATGCTTGGATTGTATGCATATGCCACCATGCCTGGTACCTCTGACCTCTTTCTCTATAGTGTTTTTTTCCTGTCCTCCATTGTCACCATTTTGTTTTAGTTTGAACAGTAACTGGGTTTGTTTTTCCCCACAAACCACTTCATCTTGATATAGTAGTGCTTAACTTTGTTTAGTTGCTTCTCAGAAGGGAAGAGTGGGTTTGAATGCTACAGTTCATCCACTCATTTACCAAACACATATGAAGGGCTTAGAGTATGGTTTCTGAGAAGACAAACTGACAAATAGCACAAGGCTCTCACCACTTGTCTTCAAGGGCAGACACTCAGACAAGGAAGCAGAGGCACAAATGGTGGGGACCTGAGTTGTAGCAGTGATAAACAACAGGTGGGGGGAAAGCAGTTCCAGGTGAGTGCTCTCTCATGCGGGGCAACAGCATGTACAGCAGGTGTAAGACTGGAAATGCCCTGCGTGCTAGGAGTTGGCAGGTGCTGGGAAGCTGCTGTGGCTGGACAATAGTGTTTGGGAGGGTGTGCTGGCTGAAAAAACCAAGGGGGTGAGTTCATTCTCTAAGACACTTAGAAATCAACTTCTGCCACCTGGGGGGGGGTGCTGTAGTGAGCATGTGGAGGTCAGAGGACAGCTTTTGGTGGTCAGTTCTCTTTCTACCATGTGGATCAAACTCAGATTGTCAGGCGGGGTGGGCGGTGGGCAATCACCTTTACCGGATGATCATTGTGTTGGCTTGATCCAGTGAGCCATCTGGTTGGATTTAGATGCTGTGTTTCTTGGTGCGTTACACTGAACCACGTCAGGGAGTGCTTCTGTTTGTACAGTTCTCAAACCTTGAGCTTTCATTCTGGGTGTAAGTCTGTCCGGAACGCTTCTTATCAGGCATGCCCAGGGCAAGGTAGACCTCTTATCATTTGTGAGCAGTGGCATGAACCTTAACCTTTACCCACTTTGCCTCTTCCTAGGAGCTGGTATGTAGGTTTTTCTCCAGTGAGGCTGGGACGATCTTTGGAAATTTGAAAGGGCAGTCGCAGGTGATGAGACTTTTCACACCCCTTTCTCTCTACTGTTCAAATCTTGGCTTCTGCTTTCTTCCAAATGTATAGCAATCTTGGGAGAGAGAGAAAGGACCTGTTTCCTTCAGCTCCTCTCTGAAAATAACTCAGCTGGCTGTGGTAAAGAACAAGTTGTTCCCAAGAGAGTGTTGGCGCCTCATAGTGTTGCTGTCCAGTTGTCCCTGCTGTGAGCCCAGTCTGCCCCATTTATCTTTCCTCTTGCTAAGGGGGAATTTGGGAAGCTTTCAAAGTCTGAGGGAACTAAGCTGCCTCCAGGGCCTCGCATAGTCGAGTGATGTAGGAAGCCTGGCATACTGGAGGGTTTGAGAAGTACTGAGAGGTGGGTTTAAGAGTCAGAACATCATGTATATTCAAAAGGTAGATGCCTGAATGCCTTTGGAATGTTTATTACAGCCCTATTAGTCTTTTCTGGATGTCAGAGTCCCAGTTGCCCAACATTCTCTCACAACTAGGATAAAGTAAGAAGGGTAGTGTCCACTTCAACTGCATTTCTCTCCTCGAAGATTAATGTTAAATCGGGGAGAAGAACGGATAAGAATTGATTCTATGCAATTAATAAAGGATTGGGAGGGGTGCTCAGCTGATAGTTGCTGCCTGAGGAATTAAGTTCCAAGAGTCTTAAAAGGTGCGGGGGAGTAAGCCCCGAGGGGGAATCCAGGGCCTGAGCTAAGTCTGGAGTCTCAGAAGAAAAGATCTGGTGTGGGGAAAGCAGAAGTGGGATCGTAGTTATCTCTGCATGGAGTTGAGGAGAGGAGTGTTAGCCTGAACCTTGCCTGGGGGCGAAGATGATAGTTGATAGTGGCCTCACAGGCAGCGATCGGAGGAGGAGCTTTGGAATTTGGTCTGGACAAATTGGAGTTGTTATCCTAAAAGTGATTGATTCGGACTGGAAGAAGCGTTAGGAACCGAGGTCCAAGCTGCTGGAGGCGCCAAACTGTTAGTATTCCTCTGCATCTCTTTAAGGGGCGGAGCTCCCGGGTCACTTCCCCGCCGCCACGCCCGCCCGGCGGCAGAAACAGTTCGGGAAGCTGAGCCTGCCTCACAGTCGTGGGGCGTCTCTCTACTCGGAGTTAGCAGGATTCGAGCCGTCTCACTGACCACAGGCCGTGTCGTGTCACCGGTTCTGCAGGCACCATGAGCCAGGACACCGAAGTGGACATGAAAGAGGTGGAGCTGAACGAACTAGAACCGGAGAAGCAGCCTATGAATGCGGCGGCCGGGGCGGCGGCCGGGGAGAAGAACGGTCTGGTGAAGATCAAGGTGGCCGAAGACGAGGCGGAGGCGGAGGCCGGGGCCAAGTTCACGGGCTTGTCCAAGGAGGAGCTGTTGAAGGTAGCCGGCAGCCCCGGCTGGGTGCGCACCCGCTGGGCGCTGCTGCTGCTCTTCTGGCTCGGCTGGCTTGGCATGCTGGCGGGCGCCTGCCGTGAGCTGCCGGTACAGAGGTGGTGGCACGAGGGCGCCCTCTATCGCGTCGGCGACCTTCAGGCCTTCGTAGGTCCGAACGCGGGAGGCATAGCTGGTGAGTGGGGTGCACACCCTCATCCCTTTCCCCATGTGCCCCTCTTGTAACTGGCCCCTCTGCTGCTCTCCTCCCTCCTCGCCCTCTAGACGAACTCAGATGGTTCTCCACTGCTCCCTGTTTTCTGGGACCACTCCCTGGCAAACAATCCCTGCTTCCTTTCTTTACAAACAAAAACAACAAAAAAACCCGCTACCCCCACTTCTTCCTAAGGGTGGCTGAGTCAGCACATCCATTTTCTGTTCCCAGAACCACGAGGCGCCTGAACCAGTTCAAACCAGTTTCTGAAGTAAAGTGCGAGGCTCCTTGCGTCAGCTACTTCGTCTCGTGATCCAGCCCCCTTAGAGGGAGTGGGGAAAGTGTTGGAGAGAATGTGGAGGCCTGAGGCTTCTCATGCCTCGATTCGTTAACTCATCCTCCTCCTTATCGCAGGTCTGAAAAAGCATCTGGAGTACTTGAGCACCCTGAAGGTGAAGGGCCTGGTGTTGGGCCCAATTCACAAGAACCAGAAGGATGACGTCAATGGAACCGACTTGAAACAGATTGACCCCAGTTTAGGCTCCCAGGAAGATTTTAAAGACCTTCTGCAATCTGCCAAGAAAAAGAGTAGGTCTTTCCAAGAAAGCAGAAAGAGTTTGGCACTGTAGCCGAGTAGCAGGACAGGATTCTTGTCTGGTTTACTCCTAACTGGTTCAAGAGTTTTTCTAGGGCAGGCAACGGGGAGATACGTTACGATTCACGATAAACAGTGTGTGGTTCATGTGTTCTATTTTTGGCTGGGGGATTTTTATTTATGTTTTGGTTTTGAGGTAGGGTCTCACCATGTAACTCTGGTTGGTTGGCCTGTACCTTACTATGTAGACCAGGTGGGATGCAAGTTGACAAAGGTTCACTGGTCCCCAGTCCTAGGCTTAAGTGTGCCACCATGGCTGGTTAAAATCAATGGCTTTTAAATTTATAAAGTAGATCGTCTGTGTGTAAGAGATTCACTATTGTTTTATAACTCAATATAGAGGGCTGAGAATGTAGCTTCTGTTGAAGCTTCTTGTCCCTCTTACTCCAAAGAACTCTCTCAACTGGTTGTTTCAGGCATTCACATCATTTTGGACCTCACTCCCAACTACCGGGGCCAGAGTGCATGGTTCCTCCCTGCTCAAGCTGACTGGGTGGCCACCAAGATGAAGGTGAGTTTTATGGTTGGTGGCAGACTGGATTCATTCACAGCAAATCTCCTCCCATAGCCTGAAGTGTCCATGGTGCGCAGGGTTTGGGCTTTTTTTTTTCTTTTCTGACTGCCCTTTGTGTGTGTGTGTGTTTCCTTTACTCTAGGAGCAAGGCTGTGCCAGGAAGGGAATTTGTCAGATGTTAGTCTGGAAGTTTGATTTTTCTTTTTTGTGATAGGAAGTCCTTTCTTTCTCTGTGGGAATCCTGATCTGACTGGTTTCCCAGTTTTTGTTTGATATGTTTGGAACGGAGCCCAGTCTGGAATTATAAGCACTAGGGTCTTACTATGTATCTGGGACTATGCCAAGTACTTCATTATTTAAAATTTTTTTTAACTCCACTATGAATTTTTTAATAAGATTTGTTTTTCATATGTATGGGTGTTTTGCCTGCATGTGTGTATGTTCACCATGTGCATGTCTCGTAGCCCGGGAATGGAGAAGAGGGTGATGAACCCCCCCCCCCCAAACTGAAGTTACAAGCAGTTGTGAGTGGCAGTGTGGGTACTGGGAACTGAACCTGGGTCCTCTGCAAGAGCAGCAAGCATTCCTAACCACTGAGCCATCTCTCTAGCCCCCATCCCAAGTATTTTATAGCTTCTTTTTAATACCACAAAATACCTGTTACTGCTAGTCTGTTAATGAGGAAGCTGAGATATAGTCACTTGATGTGTTCCAAAAATGAAGTCTCAATGAGTCTTTTCTAATCTGCCTTTCCTTGTGGTAGTGGTCTAAACTGTATAGCCACCAGGCCAGGGTTAAGCTTCTAATATCATGCTAGTTTCTGATGCCTAGGTTTTAGGACACTGGCAGGTCCAGGATGGACGTAACAGAAGTAGAGGCAGACGCTGACACTTTGCTGTCAGCTGTGACTCTGAGTGAGGATTTTTGGACTCTCAGCATGTGGGTGGGACTCCTGTAATCATCCAGTTTGGCTGTTGCCAGTTGCTGGGAGCTTTGTGTTTTAGAACTCTTGCTGAGGATGACCTTGAATTGCTAATCCTCTTGCCTTCTAAGTGCTGAGATACTATGCTCATAGGAAGTTCAAAGTACTGGAGAAAGCCTGTAGTCCTAGCACTTGAAAGCTGGAGGTAGGACATCAGAAATTAAAAAATAGCCTTGGTTATGTAGTGAGTTTGAGACTGGTCTTAAGCCAAAACCAAAAGCTGTTGGTAATGTTTTCGGGTGATAGATGAAGACGGAGAGCAGACGATGGGGAAGGTAGGGGTGTGGGGGCATGGCTCTGTGCTAAGTGCCAGGTGAAACCAGGGCTGAAACCTTCAGGCCTGGGCCTGTTCTGCAGAGTTGACCTCTTTTCAGATGTCTCAGTAGCCCTCAGGCTGTGTTTTGAATTTCAAACTTTTCATTCTTGGCCTTGCTCCCACCAGCTCTGGTGGGAGAGCACACACTCTCCAGGCCTCAGGAAACTGGGAGAGAGGAGTAAGTACATTTGCCTTAGGGTCTTGACTGGCATTTTAGGTTCTGTCTCTGCTGTTCCCTGATTATGATCTTGGCCATGTCTTCTTGCTTCTCTGAGCCTGTTTCTAATTTGAGGGTATTTTCATTCTGCATACCAAATGTTAGGTATTAGAGCTATGCATACATATTTTCTCTTGGGCCATTTCTGTGGCTCTTAAAAGTGAAGCTGTGTGATTTGCCAAAGGCAAGAATAGAGAACAGAAAAATGCTATTATACACTAAGAGCATACCAAGGGCTACATACCAAGGTCTAACCTTTGAAGGGAGAGAGTGAAATCCTATTTTATAGAGGTCACAGGGAAAATTGAGGTAGGCGAGGGCTTGCTTGTGTGCTGATCTTTTCTCTATTCTTTTGTCCCCTGCAGGAAGCTCTGAGTTCTTGGTTGCAGGAAGGTGTGGATGGGTTCCAATTTCGGGATGTGGAAAAGCTGATGGTGAGTGCCCTTTCCATGTTGAGAGGCAAAGCTTTGGTGAGAAGAGAGGGTCTCGGCCAGTGATAGGTGATGTTCCCTATTCTGATTCTGTGTTTTTTTTTTTTTTTTTTTTTTTTTTTTTTTCTTTTTGGGTGCTAGGATGCATCCTTGTACTTGGCTGAGTGGCAGAATATCACCAAGAACTTCAGTGAGGATAGGTAGGTGTCGGACACCCCTGCCATTGTGAGAGCCCCTTGGAGTGCTAAGCCCTTAGAGGGGAGTTTCCTGGTGTTGAAAACTTCACTTTTCTTCTTTATCTCTGCCATTTTGTAACAACACTCCTGCCCTTACTTTGTGCAGGCTCTTGATTGCAGGGACTGACTCCTCCGACCTGCAGCAAATTGTGACCATACTCGAATCCACCAGCGACCTGCTGTTGACCAGCTCCTATCTATCAAATTCCAGTTTTACTGGGGAGCATACAAAATTGCTAGTCACTCGGTATTTGAATGCCACTGGCAGTCACTGGTGCAGCTGGAGTGTAAGTACCATGCTGGTGGGTATAGGGGAAGGCGGAAGGTGCTGGTTGTGGGTGAAGGTGCACGTAGGCATGTCTTCCTCCAGGTGTCTCAGGCAGGGCTCCTGACAGCCTCCGTCCCAGCTCAGCTCCTCCGACTCTACCAGCTGATGCTCTTCACTCTGCCAGGGACCCCTGTTTTCAGCTATGGGGATGAGATCGGCTTGCAGGAAGCTGTCGTTCCTGGACAGGTACCACCTGTTTTCTGCCCAGCACAGTGTGGAAATAGTGTTTGTTTATGTATCACATCTTGGCATCTGTGGATAGCAGCAGACAGACAACAGCCCTGAGGTGGAACTTTGTTAAATTCCTTGTCAGTCACCCTGTGAACTATGTGGCAGGGTTTAAACAGGGTTTCCCTGTTGTCATATTCATTGTATATCTTGGGCTGGCCTCAGACACCATGTAGCATATTCTCCTTGAGTGGAACTCAGCCGGAAATACATCTGTGCGCGCGCGTGTGTGTGTGTATGTGTGTGTGTGTGTGTGTGTGTGTGTGTGTGTGTGTGTGGTGTAGACACATGCACAGATATCAGAGTACAGCTTGGTGGAGTAAGTTCTTGCCTTCAGCTTTTATATGGGTTCCGGGGATCAAATTCCAGTTGTCAGCTGGCATGGCAAATGCTTTTAGCCATCTTGCTAGAGCCCCAGAACCTATTTTTAAAGGTAATGCCTGGTGTCTGGTAAATATGTTCGAATGGTAGCAAATGTTGTTCTGTTAGACAGTGGTACTCTGCACCCATTGGATAGACTCTGAGCCCTCTGGGAACTCAGTTTAGTGAGAGTCCAGACAAACAGACAGCTACACACTGTGGGTGCCATGATGAAGTACCACCACAAAGGCATCTACCAGCAGAAAAAAATACAAAATGATGAAATGAAAACAGGGAGTGGGAGGAAGGGAAGTGGACCCACCCCTTTTAAAGTCCCACACTTTTGTTCTTTAGCCTGTGGAGGCCCCATTCATGCCATGGGATGAATCCAGCCTCCCCCAAACTCCGGGACACATAAGCACGAACATGACAGTGAAGGTAAGCGGTTTAACCCTGACCCTCATGGTGGGCAGGTGGCTTACAGATGTCCGGTGGACCCCTCACTCCTTCCTTCTGTGTGTCCTTCATTTTCAGGGCCAGAATGAAGACCCTGGCTCCCTCCTTACCCAGTTCCGGTGGCTGAGTGACCTTCGGGGTAAGGAGCGGGGTAAGGAACGCTCTCTGTTGCACGGTGACTTCCGTGCACTGACCTCCTCACCTGGCATCTTCTCCTACGTCCGCTACTGGGACCAGAATGAGCGTTACCTGGTGGTGCTCAACTTTCAGGACGTGGGCCTGTCAGCCAGGCTAGAGGCCGCCAACCTCCCTGCTGGTATAAGTCTGCCAGCCAGCGCTAACCTATTGTTTAGCACCAACAGTACCCGGCTAGGCCAAGAGCAGGGTACTTCTCTGAGTCTGGAAAACTTGTACCTGAATCCTCATGAGGGCTTGCTGTTACATTTCCCATATGTGGCTTGACCCTACCTGTCTAAGACCTACCACCCTCCTCTCTTTTCCCCTGGCCTTTTGAATTATTTTTTTCTCTCCTTTTGTTTGTTTGTTTTGTTTAACTTTTGCAGATTGCATATCAATTCTCACACTGGGTGTTTTTGCCTTCAAATAAAAATCACCCCTGCCTGATGAGGTTGTGTCTTCCCTTCATCCTTCATCAAAGCAGGCCTCCCTCCTCCCCATCCCTCCCCTTCTTTCTTGGCCTGCCCCCCACCCCCATAGTGTCTAGTCTCAGCCAGTTGTTTTTTTTATTATTATGTATACAGTCTTCTGCCCGCATGCCAGCAGAGGGCACCAGATCTCATTCAAGGTGGTTGTGAGCCACCATGTGTTTGCTGGGAATTGAACTCAAGACCTCTGGAAGAACAGTCAATGCCCTTAACTGCTGAGCCATCTCTCCAGCCTCTCTCAGCCAGTTCTATACAGCTGCTCCAGCTCTTAATATCTTTTGGAAGGGGGGTGGTTTTGAGACAAGGTTTCTCTTTGTAGCCCTGGTGGTCCTGGAACTCACTCTGTAGACTAGACTGGCCTTGAACTCAGAGATCCACCTGCCTCCCTAGTGTCCAGCTCTTAAATGAATTATTCACAGATCAAGGCAGAGAGGGGCCCTTCCAAAGTAAATAGCAAGGAGGTGTCAGGGCTGGAGAAGCATCTGCATGTCCTCACACTGGCCCAGGTGTCCTGAGGTCTTAGGTATTGCCAGCTCTTCATTATCTTCCTTAGCTCAGGTCTGTAGTCCTGGTGTTTTGTTCTCTCATTTTTGCCTGTTTGTCTCTTCGAGGAAGACAGTGGGGGTGGGGTGACCTGAAGACTGTACACTGGGGCTTCCAGCAAAGAACAAAATACAGAAGTCCCTTTTTACTCAGTGGTGAGGCATTTACCCCGTGTGTACATACCTTCACTCCTTTGCTTCCTTAGGGTATGTAGTCTTCTTGTGTAGAGATGGAGAAGAAATAAGGAATGAACATTTTTGTATGATAGATATGGTGGTGATGAGTGATCAAAAAGGAAAAACTGGGGATGGAGAGATGGCTCAGAGGTTAAGGGCACTGGCTGCTTTAGTAGAGGACTCAGGTTCAGTTTCTAGCACTCACATGGTAGCTCTTAACCATCATTTACTGTAGTTCCTGGGGTTTCTGGAACAACACCCATTTCTGGTTTTGCAGGCACAAGACATGCATGTTATTTACATATATACATGCAGGCAAAGCACACATAAATAGGAAGGAGAAGTTAAAACTGGAAAGGTATTTGTGGGAGCAGGAGGTTTGAGGGGTTGGGTTTGGAGGAAGTCCATCCCACCAAAGAGGTGAACTTCTAACCCATGGCCTATGAATGTGGCCCAATATACAGTCATAAGCAGTAGATTACACTTGTTACAGTGTCAAAGGTAAGACAACCGGCAAGTCTGGGGAAGCTTTTGGGTATCTGAATGGGAACATGATTAGTCCTTGTGTGGCAGGAGTAAGAAATGAAGGTTAAAAAGCCAGGTGGTGGTGGCGCACACCTTTAATCCCAGCACTAGGGAGGCAGAGGCAGGTGGATATCTGTGAGGTTGAGACCAGCCTGGCCTACAAGAGCTAGTTCCAGGACAACCTGCAAAGCCACAGAAAAACCCTGTCTCCAGGAAAAAAAAAAAAAAAAAAGAAATGAAGGTTATTCGGCAGGGGGTCTGCAGATCACAAAGGGCTTCATAAGGCAGTCACAGAGGGTACAAAGTTTGGTAGACTATACAGGGGCCATGGTCCTCAGACCTTGGGATACTCTTCAACAGCAGTTGTAGAGCAGTGGTTGCATGAGCTCCCTCAGGTGGGCTATATGCGTGGATGAATGGCAGCATTGTTTTATTAGCAAAAGGATAGAAAACCTAAAGGGAGAGGTGCCTGGGCAGCCTGAGAGAGTGGGAAGGTTTCCCATATTTTCTCTGAGGACTCAGTACCTGGCAGCCATACATTGTAACAAGGAAGCAGGAAGCCTTTGGTGACCAAAGTTTTGGCTTGTCAGTTTCTCAGTGGAGCCAAGAATGACCTTGAACTCCTGATCTTCCTGCCTCTACCCAGTAGAATTACAGGCAGGCTCCACTTTGACTTGTTTCTGTTTTTTTGAAGCATTGTCTAGCACAATAGTCCAGACTGTCTTCAAACTATAGCAGTTCTGCCTCGGTCTTCTGAATGCTGGTATTACAGACATGTATCACCATGCCTGGTTCCCGTTTCCCTGGAGCTTAATCACAAGATTGTCTAACCTTCAGTCTCTAGCCCCTCCCAAGGCTTTAGAAAAATACTTTGGAATCCACTCCCCATATGTTAAACTTTGGCAGCCTGACTAATAATCCCAAAGACAGCTCCCAAGACAGGACATTCCAGAGGCCTAGAAATTACTTGCCTTGAAGCTGAGAACAAAGGCCAGACTTGAGGGCAAGAGTCATTTAGAACTGTACATAGAGTCAGAGGGAGTGGAATAGGAGTTGGAAGACCTGGAACAGAGTGACTTCTTACTGGATTTAACAGGCTTGGTGTATGATTAGTTGGGGAGCAGGGAGGTTGGGGAGGCTGGTTTGGGACTAACCAAGGATATGTGATGGAGGAAGTAGTCAAAAGTGGTTGCATCTTGCCTTGATTTAACAAACAGGTCAGTCCACTGATTTAGTGTCAGTCTTGTCAGCCAGTGATTTGTAGGTGTTAACTTTGGCCTTCAAAGCCTTAGGAACAATAACACGATAGACACTTTGACTCTCCTAGCCTTGGGGAAAAGAACATGTTGGACACTGTAGGTATCCTTTACAGCAGGCTAGAGCTTGGGCCTCTTGATTCAAGAGATTAAAAGATCTAATTAAGATCCAGCCCTTGTTTCTTCATCTTCTTGCTCAGTGACAGAGCGTGAGGCCTTTGAGAAGACATACCAACCTTCCTCCTAGCTCCCCACCCCCTGCCCTTTTGGTCTATTTTGGACCTCTTTCTGAGGCTCCCCACCTCTTTCCCAGCGTCCTCCAGACCTTCCATTTCCCTTTCCCCTCTTGTCTCATAGTGTATCCCTGGTTGGCCTTGAACTCCCAGAGATCCTCCTGCCTCTACCTCCTAAGTGGAACCACCAAGCTCAGCCCTCATGGGCTCTTCTGATTCAATTTTTACTGTGAGTATTATGGTATGTGCTATGGCAGTGCACTGGCTGCTTGACAAGCTGGAGTCATCAGAGAGGAAGGAGTCTCAGCTGAGGAAATGCCGCCTTGAGATCCAGCTGTAGGGCATTTTCTCATTTAGTGATCAATGGGGGAGGGCCCAGCCCATGGTGGGAGCTGCCATCTCTGGGCTGGTGGTCCTGGGTTCTGTAAGAAAGCAAGCTGAGCAAGCCAGTAAGCAGCTCCCCTCCATGGCCTCTGCATCAGCTGCTGCCTCCAGGATCCTGTCCTGTTTGAGTCTCTGTCCTGACTTCCTTTAATATGAACATAATATGGAAGTGTAAGCCAAATAAACCCTTTTCTCCCCAATTTGCTTTTTGGTCATGGTGTTGGTTGCAGCAATAGAAACCATAACCAAGATGGGAAGTGTATTGTTTTTCTGTTTATTTTTAATTTTTTAAAATGTAGGTACTTTATGGGCTGGAAAGATGGCACTTTCTGTTCTTGAAGAGGACTTGGGTTTTAGCATCCAAATGGTGGCTTATCCACAGTTCCAGGTCCAGGCAATTCAGTGCTCTCTTCTGACCTCTACAGGCACCAGGCACACATGCAATGCGTAATTCAAAATGTAGGTAAAACAATCATACACAACAACAACAACAACAAAAAATAAATCTTACAAGTTTATGTTCTTTAGGGTTGGTGAGATGGCTCACCAGTTAAGGGCTAGCTACTATTCTAGAAGATCCAGGTTTGATTCCCAGCACCCACGTGGCAGCTCATAATCAAAACATCATACACATAAAAATAATAAAAACTTAACCAATAAATAACATATTAAGCAAAACAAAATGAGACCTAATTTTGCTCCTTATAGCTACCACGATAAAGGGAAGCCTCAGAAACTGAGTTTTGTCTGCCAGGGTCCTGGCAACTCTGCCTCCAGACCTCTGTGGGAAAACAAGTGGGAACTCCACCCCCTGAAATCTGCAAGCTCTGGACCCTGACATGTGCAGTCATCTTGAAGGCTAAGCAGGGTCTGGCCTGTTTGTATTGTCTGGGAGACCACCTGGGAATGTCTTGTACTGTAAGACTGTAAGTGTCAAAAATGAAAAGGGGTAGCAGCACTTGGGAGGCAGAGGCAGGCGGATCTCTGTGAGTTCGAGGCCAGCCTGGTCGCCAGAGCGAGTGCCAGGACAGGCTCCAAAGCTACACAGAGAAACCCTGTCTGGAAAAAACAAAAAAATAAAAAAAAAAAAAAAAAAAAAAAAAAAAGAAAGAAAGAAAAGGGACTGCGTGTGATGGCTCACGCCTTTAACTCCAGCATTCCAGAGGCCGGGCCAGGTGGATTACATAGGTCAGGTGCTAGGGACTATCTGCAGGGCCTTACACATATCAGGCAAATGTTCTACCACTGGGCTACTTCCTCAGTCCTGGCATAGAAAAAACTTAAGACTTTTATGATTGCCTAAGTGGGCTGAACAGGCTATAAGGGGGCTGGACAGGCTGGGCCATCAAACTGATTAGGGAAGTCGAGAGAATGAGAGGCAGGAAGGTGATCAGTGCCCTTGTATTCTTGGTTTAGCTTCTCTAGGATCTGCAAGTGGAGGTTTCCATCAGAGAGTCTAGAACTCAGTGCAGGGCAAGATCTAGGAACACTTGGGGTGAAGGTGGGGACGTGACATTAGAGTGAAGGAAGTATTGCTGAGGGATGAGAAAGGCAGAAAGGGGAGGTTGGAGCCAAGGGCTGATCATATTTATAGCATAGACAGTGGAAGCAACCCTAACGGAGGAGGAATAGAAGCCAGCTGAGCCCCAGGTGTGGCGATAAGGAAGCAAGAGCAGGTGCCCTAAAGATTGGTGGCAAGGGTATTACTGGTGGTCCATAGGGTGTCTTCCCTGGAGCCTCCAGGCGGGAGTGGAAAAGTGGAGTTTTCCACAAGTTTCTAGATAGTATCAGTTGGAGTACCTGGTTATCCTAAGAACCACAAGAGCTTACTGGAAGGCTATGA